CTCAGTGGTGGCCAGTGGATGAGGGGTAATGGGTACAAATTAAAACACAGGCAGTTCCATCTCCTTGTGAGGAAGAACTTCCTTACTGTGAGGGTGACACAGCCCTGGAACAGGCTGCCCATAGAGGTTGTGGAGTCTCTTTCTCTGGAGATCTTCAAACCCACCTGGATGGACCCTGTGCCACGTGCTCTGGGTGTCCCTGCTGGAGCAGGGGGTTGGGCTAGATGATCTCTAGAGGTCCCTGCCAACCTCAACCGTTCTGGGATTCTGTGATTCTTCTGCTTATTTTTATTTAGAACATATTTTAAACATACTTAAAACATAAACCTAAGAAAATCCGTAGACTTTGCTTGATTTTATTATGAATTTATTTATTGTTCTTTAAAAGCTAGATGCTGTCTTGCTTGTGGATATTCCTGATCTTAGCTGCAGTTTCTCTCTTTGCCCATAGCTCTTTTTATGTACCTTCTCTGATATTGGTCTTATAAGGTCAAATGACAGTATGTAAAAGTGATTTTTGTCACAGTTTTAAAATAACTTTCCTCATTTGCAATATACATTCATTTCATGTTGGAATCTAAAAGTAAGAATCCCTGTAATGTCCTATCGCTGCTGGATTTGATGCTAGTAAAGTATAGTAAAAAGAAAAAACATATATAGCTCTTTATCTTTTAGGTTGCCTTCAAATGGCTTAAAGTAGTCCTTGTGCTGCCCTGAAAAATATCTTTTGGCCCTAATTCTGGTCCTCTCATCAACAGTACTGTGATGGAGCAGATTGCCATCCTTCTTGCTTTTTGGGATGCTCTTGTGTATTTATAAGCAACAGCAATTCAATGTTTCCATATTGACTGTAGAAAAATTCCCGAACAGTTTGTAAAACATTATTTAAATTATGATAGTTAAATACAATCGAATCTTCTTTTTTTCCTTACTGGGCATCAAAGTTGAATGGACACTACAGCTAGCCAAGTTCAACAAATATGTAGTATCATTTCCAAACTTATATCTTCCCAAGTACTTCATCATTTTGTATGTTGAACTAGGCAAGTAACTTAGTTGGATTTCTTTGAGCACGCAGGAACATCTCTTGAGAAGACATCTTAAAACCATAAAACTGTCAGTTATTTGTAGTATTTAATGTTTCTTAATTCGGTCGATATCAATATCTTATCCATACTACATCATTTTATGAGATATCCTTGTAATCTGAGTTATGTTTGAACAGATGAATCCTGGAAGAATGTTAGATATTGAATTCTGCATAAGCAGCATTGCAAATCTCTGCAGAAAAGAGCTTTTGAGAGAAAAAGATTGCAGCCTCCCAGCCTTGAGAAGAAAAACATTTGTAGTGATAAGTTTTTCTCATTGTGTAAAATATAAAAAGGTATTTTAGGAGCAAAATGAGAATACAAATAAGATATTTACTCAGCAGGTGTCTAGAGCCGTGTAGATTAGAAAGAAATAATAACAATCAACAGTTACTCATTTTTCTTTCATTTCTTGCAACACTTAAAGATTCCTTTTGTTCAAAAGGAACACCTGCTGCCATGTTTCATCCTTTCCTGCAGTGGAAACAAAAGGCCCGGTCTGTACTCCCTGATAACATGATCTGAATTTTTATACCTGGATCCTCTTGGTGTTTGCTACTCAAAGCAGCCACAGAACACAGAAATGTTTTGGGTACTGCGTGGTATCAGCTGCCTGTTGAAAGTCCTGTTACAGTGCTAGTATGTAGAATGGATGTGTTCTGTCCCTGCCAAAATAAAGGCAAGAATTTCATTCTGAAGTATCACCCAGCCCTAGAATGGGAGTCGTATTGTCCCCAAAGCCCTACCAACATAAGCATTCATCAGTTTTTAATTTCGTTATGTGCTGATGTACATGTCTGTGCTCCAATAACGTTTTAGCATGTTCTTCCTTGAGTTAAAAGTCAGCTTAGTGTCTATGTATCTTATAAATTCTCTAGAAAATTAAAATGAGATTCAAGTATTGTTAAAATAGTCCTGATTGCTGAAATCAAGGTAAACATTGCTCCTTTTGTTTCCTTTTAAACAGAAGACATGTGTATTTTGTTTACAACTTTTTGCCAAAAATCCTTAACATGGGCCTTTTTATTATGATTATTTAAACTTTTTCATGTACTTTC